GAATCAGTACAATCCAGCGTGCAGCTGATGATTTAGTCTAAGTTTAGATTTAGATGTAGCATTTTCAGTGCTGCTCTGGCACATATGGTGCTACCATGTGTTTTTCATGGATGTCTTTTTCCTGAATGCATCAGTCCCGGCAGCTCTCCCTGTGACTCACTCAGCCGACACATGGCGCTTTGTGTCACACAGCAAGCGCCGTTAGACAGTTGGCCGGAAAACTGTTGTGTCTTATCAAACACTGAAACAAGTATTTGTTTTGCATGTTTGACCGTTTGCAAGGCTCACGTCAAATCTAACTTTGAAACATTTGCTTGTTTTTCAGAAGTGCCAAACAGAAAGGACTCCTTCAGAAAGAGTGTTGACTCTTAGAGAATTAGAAGCACGTGAGTGTCTAGTTGTTCTCTGAGTGAGCCAAACATTATCCTTATACGGTTTTAAAAATGCAAAGGCGTTTGCTTAAATGAGGGTTTGAAGTTGAAGTGAGTAAAGCCAGTGACTTTCCACACCTGTTTAATGACCCTTACCAGCTGCTCTGTTGGCTGTCTCAGATATATGACGCCTGGAGTAGGACTTCAAGCCTTCGTCTATATCTCAAATTGTAACTAGTGGAGCCACAAAAAAGTCAGACATTGTGCGTTTTGATGTAAAGAGAGCTATTTCTGCTGTTGCCTTGAAATTCAGTTATAGTTATTCTGTCCAAGTTGTGGCATAATTTGGGTAATGTAAGACTGGAGCCTTTTTGAATATGAAATGTTAATTGCCTTTTCTGTGCATGTTTGTCAGATCTGGACAAGCTAGATAATGAGAAGAATGAGATGAATGATACAGACATTGCTGCACTACACCACTTTTACTCCCGACATCTCGATTTTCCTGATAATGCAGCACTTACTGAACTCTTCGCTCAGGTAAAGCTAACTGATTTTCATTTCTGTATAACTTTGGAACTTTTTTACTAAATGAATATAGAGGAATTATTATCATTTTATTTGATATGATTTCATGGATATGCACCAATGAAACAATGCATTAAATCATGGAATAAATAAACAGAATTTTTAAAATTTGAATCTGGCTCACTTTTTTGCTACTGAATAAAAACCCAAATTAAAATAATCGCATTGCTGCTTTATTTTATATTGCTATCGAAATCATGCAGACTAAGTATTATATATATATTAAATTAAGTTTTATATTCTAATCATTAAGTTATGAATGCATACCTTATGAAATAAAATAAAAAAATTCCAAAATGTTTTTCCAAAACGTCACCCAAAAATAAAAATTGTCATCATTTAGTCAACCTGTAAAAACTGTATGACTTGCTTTCTTCTATGGAACTTAAGAGAATGATATTTTGAGAAATATCTCATTGTTTTCAGTGCCAGTGGTAATTAAACAATATCTTCTTTTATGTTCCACAGAAGAAAACTGAAAAAAGTCAAGTAATCGATGACAGAATTCTCAATTTTGGGTAAACTTTAAAGAGAATGAGTCTATTACTTTCACTGTATGGAAAAAGATGTGATCAAAGTGAACAGTGACTTTGACTGTCATTCAGTCTAGCATTTCATTTTATGTTCCATGGAAGAATGAAAGCATTAAGCGTTTTGAAAAATCAAACATGAAATATTTTTCACTCCAATCCATATGCTCCATTCATGGAAAGTTCCAAGTCTGTGTGTCCATGACATTAATGCAGGGGACGTTTCGGGCAAACGCATGCTAAATCCTTTCTTTCTACACCATAGGTGAACTGTAATGGCTTCACCATTGAAGATGAGGAGCTGTCTCATTTGGGTTCTGCTGTATTTCCAGAGTAAGGTTCATAGAAATCAAAACCATTGCCATGATCTCAATATGTTAAATACTTTAGAGTAATTTAATGTTTTTATTGTTGTTGTTTGTGGTAGCGTTGCTCTGATGAACCACAGCTGTAGCCCAAATGTGATTGTGACGTATAAAGGTACAGTGGCCGAGGTGAGAGCCGTGCAGGACATCAGCCCTGAAGAAGAGGTGAGATGAGCCACACCATGAACATGAGTCATTATAAAAAAAACATTGCTGCTTATTTCACTGTTCATGAATAAAAAGTAACCTGAAGTATACGCTCAATATAATGCTCAGTTTTTGCTAAAAAGCAACAGCTCTTCAGTCTTTACTGACTGGCCAGACCTAATATGATTCGCCGTTGTGTCACATTCAAGAAGCCTTCCTTATGTATTATTTACTGTAGAATTATAGTCATTGTCATTCAATTGTGATGTGAAATATAAAATGCTTTGTAATATCTTCTGGTAAGTCAGTTTTGAATTTCCTGACATCTATCATCTTATAAGTATTGCATAATCATCTCATTACTAATTTAATTGCGTTATATTGTGTGACAGTCCTTTGTTTCTCTTGAATAGATCTTCAACAGTTATATTGACCTCCTGTATCCAACAGAGGATCGAATTGAACGGTTGAAAGATTCTTACTTCTTCACATGTGACTGTAAAGAATGCACCTCTAAATCGAAAGTGAGTGTCATTTTTATCCCTGTAATAAACAGGTTTCCAGAAACCCGTCTGATGTAGAAAGGCATAGGAAATCATCATTTTCAGTTTGTTGCACATGATTATTTTTTGTGTGTGTGTGTGCATTTTGGAGCATGGCAAAATGTGTAGTTATGGTTTGAATAAAAATTAATATTAATTAAAGAACTCAAGTTGATATGTGTGGAATAACAGCCTCTTATTTTTTTTTTAGGACAAAGCCAAAATGGAGATCCGACAGAAGCTTAGCACACCTCCAGAGCAAGAGGAAATCAAGCAGATGGTGATGTATGCCAGAAATGTCATTGAGGAGTTCAGGAGAGCAAAGCACTACAAAAATATCCTTCATTGGCCTTTTCTCTTTTGGATTCGTGAGTGTGTGTGAAAGTGAACATTTATAGTTCTGCACTATTGCGCAATATTTTGAATATGGGGCAATCTAGAGGCAGCGGGATATTTTTAGTCTTGACGAAGCTATACTAGCCTTTGGGATATATTGTCACAAAACATACACTAGTGTTTTTACAATTCACAATTGCTTGTGAAGTCTGAGAAAAGACAGCAGAAAATCAATAGTGCTTAGCTTGTGTAACCCCAAGCTACCACTTTGTCAAAGACAAAATACACTACCATTCAGAAATTTGAGGTCAGTATATATATATATGTTTTTTCGTGAAAGATATCCATATTTTTATTTAGCAAAGATGCATTAAATTGATCACATTTTTCACAAACTATTTCTAACACTGATGATAATAATAATGTTCCTTGAGCACTAAATCAGCTTGTTAAAATGATTTCTGAGGGATCATGTAACAAGATTGGTGTGAAAGTTCAGCTTTGCCAGGAATGAATTACTTTTTTAAAATAGCCTATATTAAAACAGAAAACGTATTTTAAATTGTAAAAATATTTCACAATATTACTGTTTTACTGTATTTTACGCATAAGAGACTTCTTTCAAAAATATAAAAGAAAAAAATGTACATCTTATATCTTGTATATGTCCTGAAGTGGAGGTTTTGTGGAAGTTCCTTAACTGCTAAGTACCCCCCAGTGAACTGCTGGAAATCTGTGAAATAAGCCTGGAGAAAATGGGTTCAATCTTTGCCGAAACCAATGTGTACATGTTGCACATGATGTATCAGGCAATGGGAGTCTGTCTTTATATGCAGGATTGGGATGGAGCAATGAAATATGGCGAGAAAATTATCCAGCCCTACAGGTAATGCTGAGCCCAGTGCGTTTCCTCTCTAAATGTCTTACATTTTTTACATTTTAAAAGTTGAATAATAATGAACTTACAGTGTGTCCACTTTATTAATAGTATTCAATCCACATTGTTCTAGTGTGCACTATCCTCCTTACTCACTGAATGTGGCTTCTATATACCTGAAACTTGGAAGATTGTACCTAGGACTTGAGAAAAGGACACAAGGAGTTAAAGCTTTAAAGAAGGTAAGACGCTGGCAGTGCTAATCTAATACTAATGCAGTATTAGATGTGGGTGTTTCTTTTAAAATCCAAATGGAAAATATGAATTGCTGTAGATATTTTTAGACACATTTAGGCTTTACAAATTGTTGTGGATTAATTTGTCACAGGCTCTTGCAATCATGGATGTTGCCCACGGTAAAGACCACCCATACATCGCTGAGATTAAGAAGGAAATGGAAGAGCAGAAATAATGGGAACACATGGAGGAATATGCATCAAACGCTGGCATGTGTCTTATACCTCTCCTGGGAATATTAAAACAAAGTGATGTCAAAATTGTCTGTTTATCTGAGATGTCATTTAAATGAATTTTTGGTTTGTAAATAGATGGCCTGAGTCTGAAATATTTTGTTGCTTGGATTGTCTGCACAAATGTGCTGCACTGTTTTCTGTAAAGAAGGGCTAAGAATTAAGAATCATATCAATATATGTCAGGTTTTTAACCAATATTTTGCCCTCTCATGTAGCAACAATATTCTTGTTTTCAATAGCTAACGAATGTCAATCATTTATATATTCTCAATAAGGCGAAGGACTCGGATCACTGATTCTGTTTTACTTGTCTGTTTGCCTGGATATTGTTTTGCACTGATCAGTGTTAAGATATTGGACTTCCATTCAATCAGTGCATTTCATAGTGTTACTTTCATTATTGCTTATTTGTTTAGTATTGTGCAATTTTGACAGGTAGCATGGGCAAGAAAAAAAAAGAGGAAATTAAAAAAATATGCAGACTGCCACATGCAAAATTTTTATGTGACACTAAAGTAATAAATTCATTAAGACAAAAACTGACGACTTTGATTACAATTTATTTACAACCGTATATAGAGATTTACAACCGTATATAGAGATATACATATAGATATCTATCAAATTAACACATTTATCTTTGTATCACTAAATACATCCAGCGACTTGTAATCACCATCATCTGCTATTGTTTTTGTGATAAGTCTCTACATAAGCTGTGTCGCATCCCTGGCTGTAACCATGGTGATGAAATCCATATATGGCTCTCATACCATCTGCTATGACCAAGAGCACGTGTTTGGCAGAGCCCTATGGAAGCAGCATGGCGCCATTCATCTTCCCACAGATCATTGCATTCAGGAAGACAAACAGGAACAGAAATGTAACCATTCAGAAGTGCATAACGGCAAGGGATTAGAAATCATTGCACATAATCACAAATCATATGTGGTGCATTTATTATGATCACCAGTTTGCACAAAGCCAGCAATGATACAGACAAGAACGATGCTTAAAATAGTTTTCTTTTAATAAATAGGAATATTAAAGAAAGAGGATGAATTCCTTTGAAGCGATTAACGTTATTTGTCTTCAGGTGTGTGTGCGTTATTTTCTGCATCTGTCAGTTGTCTGCATGTTTGGAGGAGAGCTAAATAACGCCCGACAGTCATTCATTTCAATTTCAGGGCCGAAATAGTTATTTAGAAAATAATGGGTGGAGTTACATTCGAATAGATAGGAGTGTCCAATCAGAACCCGATATGTTCTTACGTCATTTGTCAAACGCACCAATAACGACGCTGCATTCCGTCGACAACGACGTTGAACTCTTTTTGAATTTCTACTCTAGTTAACTGAAAAACAGACACAAGAGAAGAAGAACCTTAGGGTAATCGCAGAGTAACCGTGAGGGGTTCTTACTTTAGTTCTGGTAAGATTATGTATTTTTTGTAGAATGTAGTATATTATTGTTGAGAGTGGGATATGTCTAAAGTCTTTGTCGTTATAAATTTATTTGATTGATGTGTTAAAACCAACCACGTGATGATTTCGTATTGTGTCCTAATAGCCGGGTTTATCTATAAATGAAATAAACCTCTTTTATAATCTCTCACAACCGTGATTCTAATTTTTATGATTATTATTATTATTTATGGAAACGAAAGCAAATTATTTTCATCCTAAAGGTCCTCTTTTCAAATTTCACGTGATATGAGTACAAAACAATTACGTTACAATACATGTCCTGATGAAATCTATAACGTTATTTTTTCTTTTTAAAGTTATTTTTACAATACATTTATGTACTAGTAAACTCTTGTGACATGTAAGCTCTGTCACATAAATAAATGTATTATAATTACTTATTTTAAGTCGTTTCTGTTAGTAGCAAACTAAATTACTACAACATTTAATAGATGCATAAAATGCGAAATATGATTATTTTGTGACCCCAGTAAGTTGTCAAAATCAAGTTTTTTTTTGTCAGACTGTGGTGACATTTTAATCGATTGTGCTAAAAATCCGTTTGAAACCATGCTGTATTCTCCGTTTATTAACTGCACTGAATGCTAAATGTGCCAATATTTATAATTAATATTTTTTGAGATTGTTGTATGATCTGATAGTGCACCATATTAGGTGAATGAAAAACACACTTTATAAGAAAATTGAAGAAACATTAAATTGTATCAATACTTCAGTGTGAATAATACAGTGTGAATACTTCTGAACACACTGAACTGTAATAATAATTGAAATTTTAAATCATTTTAATTGTGTATATTATTGTATTATATATGATCAATTTTTTATATATTATTTTGCTTCAGTTTTATAGTCTGTTTAATGTTGTACATGATTCTATAATGTTTAAGCTGTGTGATTGAAGGTTTTACAGAACAAATGTCTACCTTATTGCATTTTTCAGAGCATGCCAGAGTGTCTTTGGTGAGCAACACAGCATCTTAAGTAAGTATGAGCTGGGCTGTAGAAGAGTGGAAGGATGGCCTTCCTGCAAAGGCCTTACAAAAGATCCAAGAGATTGAAGGGCAACTTGACAAGATAAAGAAGGAAAGACAGCAGAAACAGTTTCAGCTGGATTCCCTTGAAGCTACATTACAAAAACAGAGGCAAAAGGTCAGTTACCTGAGAAACAATGGAGTACATTTCCTCTATCGCATCTTAATGAATGCCGTTAAATTTGCATCATATGTGTATTATATTTCGTTACAGATGGACAGTGAGAAAAGTGAAGCATCTGCCCTTAAGAGGGAAAATCAGTCTTTGGTAGAATCTTGTGAAAGTCTGGAAAAGTCTAGACAGAAACTTACACATGACATCCAAACAAAGGAGCAACAGGTGAATTATCTGGAGGGTCAACTCAATTTGTGCAAGAAGCAGATTGATAGACTAGAACAAGAGGTCAAAAAGTAAGTGGACAGTGTGCCTAAGCTGTCAATATAATATCATCATTAGTCTTTATGTATAAGTAAATAATTGAATAACCTTCAAATATTAGAACATATTGTAAACAATAAGACCCGTCTTGGCTTAATTTGACCTTTTTCATTCAGGTACAAGCATGAGTTGGAACGGTCCCAAACTTCACATGCTTCAGAAATCCAACCATTTAGTACGCCACAGAAAACTTTTGCAACCCCTGCGACACCTAATCATTGGCAACAGGGTAAGATATAAGTTACAGAAAGCAAAAAATGCAATTCAGAATGGATACAACACACTGTAACACTGTAATAATTGCATCTTCAGATTCAAAATTAAGTGACCTACAGGAAAAGTACAATCGAGAGGTTGAGGAGCGGAAAAGGTTGGAAGCTGAAATCAAAGTCATGCATGTAAAAGTAAGTAAAATACATATTTTTTTGTTTGTGAAAAGAGCCTTGTTGCTAGTTATTATATTAATTTACTAAATAATAAAAATGCATCTCTTTTTTTGTAACACTTGAAGCTTCTGAACCAGTCTGCAGTGAGCCATAAAGACATTGCAAGACAGCAGGCAGGGTCCTCAATTTTCCCTTGGCAGCAAGACCAAACACACAGTCATCAGTCTCTGACTGTGATTGAGACACCCTCTAGCAGAAGAAACGGACCCTCTGGGATATCATGGTCTTACGATGACACACCAATTAAGCCCCACCAGCCGTTCACATCAGGCACTCAAAGTGACACAGCTGGATCACAGCAGATGGAACAGCTTAAGAATATAAATCAAGGTTGGCCTGACCTTACAGATGGATTTATTTTTTATTATGTACATGAAAATATGCTTTTGAGTATAGCACTACAGTGATAATCTTCATATGCCTTAAGGTAACACATTTTGTTTCCTTTTTTTTTTTTTTTTTTTCTTATGCTGCTCAGATCTAAGGTCAAGGGTTTCTGAGCTAGAGCTCCGTCTTCAAGCTCAAGAGAAGGAAATGAAGAATCAGGTCAATAAATTCAGTGAAATTCAAAGTCAATTCGAAATGGCCAAGAAAGATCTGGCAGAAAAGGACAAACTCCTCAGCAAGTCCAGAGATGAACTCACAAAATCTACAGGACAGTATGAGCAGTCAGTTTCTAAGGTATAGGTCAGCTTAATGCATTTATATTTTGTTATCTTTTAAGCTATGTCATATTAAGTTATGTTGTATACAGTGGCCCCAGAAAAGTACTTGGAACACTTAAAATATATGAATGTCTTTGTATTATATTACAAAATATTAAAAGCACACTTTCAGGAAAATCATTGCACAAAACTGTTTTGAACTATTTTGCTTCAAAAGTGTGGTTGGTTATTACAAATAATTGCCACTTGGCTTGATGTTTTAAAATTGATTATATTTTATGTATAATGTATCAAGATATTCAAACGTTAGGTGTCCAGTTTTAGAGGCCACTGTATGTATTTTATATGTTGTGTGTTGTTCAGTCTTTTGGTTGAACAATAGGTTAATTCATGTGAATATAGTAGTTAATCTTTGGTTGATTTGGCTCCTCAGTGTTCATCTCTTGAGATGAAGCTGAAGCAGGTAACAGAGGAGATGAACTGTCAGAGACATAATGCTGAAAGCATGCATAGATCTTTGGAGCAGAAAATCAAGGACCAGGAGAGAGAGAGTCAAAAGGTCTTGTCTTACTGTCATATATAATTCATTTAACATATATTTTATATTTCTGAATGTTGGATGAGATAAAACTAAAAAAAAATTGTCCTTTCGCTCATTTCAGGAACTTGCACAACTTCAAAGCTCCCATCAAGCTCTTGATCAGCAATTTAACCAGGTTAAAAATAAAATGAGTATGGAGATCCAGCAAGCCAAAAAAGAGTACAATGTTTTGCAGTCAGATGTGGATAAGGTAATTTGAAAATTCAGCTATGAATAATGTTTTAGGCATGGTATAAATAACACGTTTCTGTTCATTATATTTTCTCTCTTCGTTTCTTTTCGAGTTACTTAACCCAAACATGCATAATCACAACAAAATGTCACTGGTTTCAAAGGTAACTGCTCTAAAGAATCGACTGGAGAAAGATTTGGAGGAGCTGAAACAGAAACTTCTCAGGTCTGAACAGGCATTGCAGGCCAGTCAAGTGAAGGAGACAGAATTAAAGAAGAAATTTGATGTAAGTTGCATGGGTGTCTGTTATATAAGATAAGGTATTAGTTTGCTTGTTTTCATTTAATAATAACAGATTTTACTTTATAGAGTATGCAGAGCATGCCAGCATTTGAATGTGTTGTTTCTTCTCCTAGGAGTTGCAGAGAGAGAAGAATACTCTCAGTTGTCAGTTAGATCAAGGAATGAAAAGGGTCAAACAACTTGAAGAGGAAAAACAAAATACTGAGCAAAACCTTGCCAAAAGCCGTACAATGGTGGATGATTTAAAAGGTATGTTACAAAAGTTTATAAAAAATTTACCAATTAAATGTGTTGCATTATAACACTTTAAAAACAAAGATTTCAAAAAGAATCTAAAGAAATACTTCATCTTATCATTTTTTTGCTACTTATCACTTGCTACTTTCAGTTAAGACACAAACCCAGAGTGAAGAACTGACTGAGCTTCGCAAAAAATTGGACCATCAAAGTGTATCATCTGCTCAAGAATTGGAAAATTCCAAGAAAACTCTGGCTGAAACAGAAGCAAAGAATATGAAGAGTCAGGCCGAGTTGCAAAAACTAGTTCATGAAGTTGAACTCAAAGCTAATAAGATTTGTGTGATGGAGAAAGAAAATGAAGACCTCAAAATGACCTCAAACTCCTGTCAGAAAGAAGTTGCTGAGATGAAGAAAGAGTATGAGGCTCTTCTACAGTGGAAAACCGAAAAGGAACAGTTGATTAATAACACTGAATCCAACCGTGAAGAAATGCTGAGTAAAATTGCAGATCTGGACAATGATAAAGCCAAACTCAATGATGCTCATGATGGTCTCCAGAAAACGATGCAGGATTTAGAAAATGAGAAGATTTGCCTATCTGGTCAGATTGATTCACTCAAAGGTGAACTGCTTGTAAAATGTGTGGAGCTGGAGGAAAAAGGTAGAGTATATGAGGAGCTTCAACAGCAGTTACGTGAGACACATCAAAAACATAATAAGGAAATGGACAATTTGAAGCAACAAATCACTCTGATGCAGGAGCAGGTGCGTGAGCTTGAAGCTAAACTGCATCAAGAAACAAGTAAAGTGGAAGGATTGGAGAAGACCCATGGTCAACTCGTTGCTGAATATGAAAGTGCTTGCGACCTGGCTAAATCAAAGGACTCTATTATTGAAATGAACAGAACTGAGATTGAGCATCTTCAGGAAACTTTTGCCTTGCGAGAGCAGGAGCTAGAGAAATTTAAAGAGGAGAAAGACATGTTAGCTAAAGAATGTGAAGACCGCCTTGTACAAAACAAAGAGCTGGAACAAGAAAAACTGAATGTGGAAACATCCCTGCAGGAGGTACTTGAGAAGATTGCCCTCTTGGAATCAGACCTAAAGTGTCAAAAAGATTTAAATGCAGATATCCAAGGAAAGTATGATGCTATTTCTAAAGTCAGAGAAGATCTAGCAGAGAAAGTGTCTTTAGTGGAAAAGAGGGAAAAAGATCTTATTCTTGAAGTTGAATCTCTGCTACAAAAGAATAAGTCATTCTGTTCTCTTGAAGAGCAGTTTAATTGTCTTGTTTCTGAGGCAGAAGAAACCAGAAGTTCCCTGGAAAAAGTAAAGGAACTACAAGTTCAGACCGCCACCGAGTTGGAAACTCAGAAGACAATAGCTGAGAATCTTGCAAAAGATATAGAAGAAGAAAAAAGGAAGGCATCAAGCTTAGAGCATGATAATGCACTACTCAAAGTGAAACAACAAGAGGTCGAAAATAAAGCTAATGATCTAGCTGAGAAGTGTGAAAACCTCCAGAAATTCCATGATGTTGTTTGCCAAGAGAAAGAAAATCTTCTTAAACAGGTTTCTGAAATGACAGGAGCACTTGCTGAAAAAGATGCAGTGGCAGAAAATATTTTGTTAATGCAAACTGAGCTTGAGGCCTCAAATCATTTGTCCACCACACTAAAGAATTCACTAGAAAGTCTTCAAAAACAGTTCGACTTATCTGCAGAGCTGAATTTAAGTCTGGAAAAAAATGTACAAGACATATCTGAAGAAAAAGCGTTATTCGAGACAAGTATCAAGAAGCTCACTGAAAGACACAACAAGGAATCTGAAACTCATGTCTCTGAAATTGAAACTCACCTTAAAAAACAAAAGAGTTTAGAGGAGCACATCAGTGTACTTGGAGCAGAATTACAGAGTAAATGTCTAGAGGCCAGAAATGCTTCAGAGAAACTAGAGGAGGCTGCTCTTGAAAAGGTAAAGTTGAAGCAAGATCTTGACTTATCTAAGGACCAACTCAGGGAGGTCACTGATTCCTATCAGAAAGTTGCAAAGGAACTTGAAGACTTGAAACAAAGTGCATCTCCGCATGAGCAGGAGATAGAAAGTCTCAAAGCTGCTTTGGCAGATTTAAAAAGCCAAGAAGCTGCAAAATCCTGTGAGATTGAAACTTTGAAAGGAAAACTTCAGGAGGCTCGATCTGAGCAAGCTAAAGCGTTAGAAGCACTGAACGAAAAAAACATTAACGTGAACAAAATCAAAGTACAGCTTGAAATGTTGCAAATGGATCTTGAAGATAATGAAACCTGCATCAATTCATTTGAAGCACAAGTAGAGGCACTGCAAGGCAATATCAGTGTTCTTGAAACAAAGTTAGGTGAGAGTGAGGCACAGAGGTCCATCCTACAAGCAGAGCTCGAGTCCGT